AAAAAAAAAAAAAAAGAAAACAAAAAGACATATGCACCTCTATGTTTATCATAGTACTATTCACAACAGGAAGGGCAGGAAATTAATCTAGGTGCCCATGAATGGTGTACTGGATAAAGAAAATATGGTATATATACATCCATGGAATTTTACACAGACATTAAAAAGGTGAAATCATATCCTTTGCAACAACATGGATGTAGCTAGAGGCCATTATCCTAAGTGAATTAATACAGGAACAGAAAACCAAGTACTGCATGTTCTCACTTACAATTGGGAGCTAAACATTGGGTACACATGGACATAAACACGGGAACAATAAATACTGGAAACTACTAGAGGAGGGAGAGTAGGGCAGAGGCAGGGTCTGAAAAACTACGTAACAGGCACTATGCTCACCGCCTGGCTGATAGGATCATTCACGACCCAAAACTTCACATCACATCAAAAAACTCGTGTAAAAAACCTGCACATGTATGCTATAAATCTAAATAAAAGAAGAAATTAAAAAATATGTCTATACAGTTGGGAAAACTTTTTCCACTTACATTGATCTGTGCTTGTGAGGATCAGAAACCAGGATGGTATTACACTGCAGAAAAAATTTAGTCAAAGTCATCATTAACCTCTACAAATATAAATAGAGAAAAAAACACATCAGTGAGACACACTTCATATACGTCGATGGCATTGCTAGAGGGCAACAAAAAGATGAATTATCTGGTGACCAAATGTAAAAGTGTACTGAATTTAGAGAAACTAGATTTAAGTCACATTTATTCATTTACTAGAAATACAATCTTATGAAAACTATAAATCTTTCTGATCTTCATATGTAGATTGAGGACAAAAAAATGCTTGCCTAACCAGCATCACTGGAGAAAATGTGAGGATAAGATGGGTTAACATAAATAAAAATATTCACATATTGTAAACTGCTATGTAAATTTAACTTTTGGTGTTAATTTTGAAACCATCCCCTAAAAGAAGCTTATAGATATCCTAATCCATGTAATCTTATTTAATCTGAATGGGCTAAGCTAGGTTATACTAGAGCTTTTCAGTTTTAAAAATTTATCATTCCATGCTACTCAGTATTGCCTAACAGTTATTAAACATCACACAATTGCCCACTGCTTGGTGAATAGGGGAGAATCATTAGGTAACATCTTCATAGAGCTGACAGCTGAAGGGTGGGTGAATTTTTCAGGGAAAAGTACAAGGAAAATGAAAAAGTGGATTTAGATCTAAAAACAAAAGATAAAACGAAGATGGGTGGAAAGAAAAATAAATCAAGACAGTGCTGCAGGATATAGAGAAAGGAAAATAAGAAAGAAAAGTGGGTAAATGGTACAAGAGTGAAGAAGGAAGTTAATAGGGAGCAGAAGACTTTTAATTCAGTCCAGTGAAAGGACTGAAAGCAATTAACGTGTGGTTGTGAAACGAGAACCAGGACATGCAAAACACTAACAGAAACAAAAAACAAAACAAAAAGTTGGACAAGAGAATGAAGACAACAGCCAGGATTAGTACCTACTCATCTTTTTGTTTCTTTCATTTTGTTATAAAATTTCTAATGTATTTTTAGAAGATGATGACAGTAAGGATGACCATTACCCTTAACACTCGCTATGCTCAAACATGGGCAACACTGTTGCTAAGCCTGCATGTATCTTAACTAATTTAATTCTGACAAGAGTTCTATGAGTAGATATTCTAGAGATGAATATCCAAGTAATCAAGAGGTCATTTTCAAAACAAAACAAAGTGGTAGAGATGGAACGTGAACCTCAGATAGTCATATTCTAGAGCTCACGCTCCCAACCACTATCCTTTCAATGAGAGCAAATTTATTTATGTTTACAAATATAAGAACAAGAAATACTTATTATTTCTGGGGACCTTTGTTACATGAGCCACTGGGAAATGAAAATGTTTAAATAAGAGAACAAACTGAAGAAAATAATGTTTCAAAATTAGAAAATAATGCTACTACCAGAAAAAAATTATTTTTCCTTTGTTTTCTTTAGCTGGAAGAAAGTACAGATGTTGGTAGGGAATCCTGCAAAATGAAAATTGGCTCTCTCCCTAAATAATAAAGAACATATGAGAAAAAAACAGTAATGTTTATAATTTTACATGCAAACATAATTTTTCATTTTAATTAATGTTCTTGAAATAAAATGATCACTGCATGCCAATAAAAGGTATTAATAGTGTAATCATTTCATTGTTATATATTAATTAAATAATTTTATTTGATATTGTCTAAACACTTTCCTTATTCAACAGCTGATAGATACCATATAACTACAAAAAATAACCACAATTTTGCAAATGAATTCTTATTTAAAAGAATTAGGCATTTTCACATTATTGTGCCAAGAGAAACTACATTAATAGAATTAGAGATGGTTCTTACACATGATTACAACTGAATCCACTGCTTCCAAGAACACAGTTTATGGCTCTAACATTTCCAATTTTCTCTGAGAAATAGAAATTTCTTTTGGTTGTAGCTTTCGTAAATGCTTAGGAGCCCTTAAATAATTTTAGCGAACCAGTCATTATATCACATCTTAATTTTAAGAAAGTATCTGAGGTATTTAGGTAATACTTTTATAAAGAGACAACACTGACCACTCAGTCTGATCCTGTGAGATTCTGATTAAGAAGAGCTTAACGGAAAACTTAAGAAACACAAATAATATCTCACATAGGCAGGCAGGAGATACTCATTGAAAAAGGTAATTTCTTCTGACTAGAGGAAAAGTGATTGAACATCCAAGTTAGAAATTTAGTTTAGACATAGAATGGTCTATTTAAAAAAACAGTAGTATCATATATAAAGATGACTAATATAACTTATGTTTTAAATAGAAGAAATCATACATTTCTGATAAATTAAGTAAAGCCCAACTTTAAAAGGAAAGGCTCACTGTGAAACCTTTCAGGCCAATGATACTACTGCACCAACACAGCTCGTTTTATTCCACTTTATTGCACTTCACAAATATACATTTTTACAAATTGAAGATTTGTGGCAACCCTGCATCCAACCAGTGTATTCGCACCATTTTCCGACAGCATGTGTTTCCTTTGTGTCTCTGTGTCACATTTTGGTAGTCCTTGCATTATTTCAAACTTTTTCATTACAGTATTATTATATATTAATATAATATTATTTTTACATTATCATTATGTCTATTATGATGATTTGTGACCAGTGATCTTTGTGGTTACTACTGTAATTGTTTCAGGGGACCACAAATCATGCACATATAAAACCGCAGAATTAATAAATGTGTGTGTTGGCTGTTCCACCTGCTGGCTGTTCCCGACTCTTCCCCTTTCCTTGGGTCTCCCTATTGTCTAAGACCATATTGAATTTAGTCCAATTAATAACCCTACAATAGTCTCTAGGAGTTCAAGTGAATAGAGGAGTGGAATGTCTCTCATTTCAAATCAAAAACTAGAAATTACTAAGCTTAATGAGGAAGGCGTGTTCGAAGTTGAGACAGGACAAAGGCTAGGTCCCTTATGCCAAGGAGTTAGTCAAGTTGTGAACGCAAAGGAAAAGAAGTTCCTCAAAGAAATAAGAACTGCTACTCTACAACACATGAGTGATAAGAAAGTAAACATCAGCCCTACCGCTTATATGAAGCTTTTGGTGGTGGATTTTCAATTTAGATGAAACAGGTTTCCATTGGAAGATGCTATCTGGGACTTTCATAACTATTGAGAAGACAGTGTCTGGTTTCAAAGCGCCAAAGATAAGGATGACTCTCTTGTTATGAGTTAATACAGCTGGTGCCTTTGAGTGGAAGTCAATGCTCATTTACCATTTCCAAAAACCTAGGCCCTTATGAATTATGCTAAAATCTACTCTGCTTGTGCTCTATAAATGGAACCACAAAGCCTTGAAGACAGCAAATGAACAACAAAGCCTATAAGCCCAAGCTTGAGACCTATTCCTCAGAAAAAAAAAAAAAAAAAAGATTCCTTTCAAATATTACCTCATTGATGAGAGCATCTGGTCACCCAAGAGCTCTGACTGAGATGAACAAGGAAATTAACATTGTTTTCAAGCCACCTAATACAACATCCAGTCTGCATCCCATGGATCAAGAAACAATTTCAACCTTAAACTCTTAACATTTAAGAAATATATTTTGTGAGGCTATAGCTGTCATAAGTAGTGATTCCTCTAATGGATCTGGGCAAAGCAAACTGAAATCTTCTGGAAAGGATTCACCATTCTAGTTGCCATTAAGAACGTTTGTGATTAATAGGAGGAGGTTAAAATATCAACACAATACGAGTTTGGAAGAAATTGACTGCAACTCTCATAGATGACTTTGAGGAATTCAAGACTTTGGTGGAGGAACTAACTGCAGATGCAGTAGAAATAGCAAGAGAGCTAGAATTAAAAGCGAAACCTAAAGATGTGACTGAATTGATGCAGTCTCATGATAAAACCTTAATGGATGAGGAGTTGTTTCTTACAGATAAGCAAATAACATGGTTTCTTGAGTTGGAATCTACTACTGGTGAAGACGCTAGAGATGGCAACAAATGATTTAGAATGTAATATAAACCTAGGTAATCTTTATCAAACTAAGTGGTAGGGTTAGGGAGGATTCACTCTAATTTTGAAAGAGATCTACTGTGAGTAAAATGTTACCAAACAGCATCACATTACAGAGAAATCTTTCCTAAAACGAAGAGTCAATCCACGTGACAAACTTCACTATTGCCTTAGCCACCACAACCTTTAGAAACCTCACCCTGATCAGTCAGGAGCCATTAACATCAAGGCAAGAGCCTCGACTAGTAAAAGATTATGACTCGCAGAAGGCTCAGATGGCCATTAGTATCTTTAAGCAACACAGTATTTTTAAATGAAGGCATGTACATTGTTTTTAGACATAATGCTGTTGCACACTTATTAGACTACAGTATATTATAAACATAACTTTTATATGTATGAACCAAAACATTTGTGTGACTTGCTTTATTGCAATATTTGCTTTACTGCAGTGTATGGAACCAAACCTGCACTATATACAAGGTTTGCCTGTAGGTTGCCTTCTTCCATATTTGTAGTCTAGGAAAATAAATGGTTGGCTAATGTGGCAATGACTGTAAAGCGCTTTCAGAGTGCATGACATATGTTGCCTTTATCATAGGTGGTAGATCTTATTATGAACATCTGTTCAGCAAGCACATCATAGGATAATAATATATTAATTGTGAATTCTATAAAATGATGGTATATTTTTTAGATAATATCTTATCAATTTGTTCATACCATTTAAATTACTGCTTTAAGGGAGAAGCAACTCATTTTAGTACTATTTGTGTTTTATAATTACATAATTTTAAACCCTTCAGGAGTTATTTTACCACTAGGTAGCTACATACTCCATATTTATCCATCCATCCTTCCATCTGTCAGTCTATCAGTTCATCAACCCTCTATCCATCCTCCCATCAAAGACTTAGCTATCTGTTTACAGGTACCAAGTGCAGTCTAAGTAAACATATCACTGTTGATATATGAGTGATACTGTGTCTTGAAGTCTATTAACACATAATAGTATCTCCTTTTTACAAATCGGTGAAAATGATCACCCTGCACACAAATGTTGCCCCCGATCCCAATGAAGCATACTATTACTAGGTGATTGTGCACTGTTTTTAAAGGTTATAATGCTATTTCTGACTTATTTTTCCTCCAGAAGGGCAAAAAACAGAAGGCAGAAATTTTGGCTGAGCTATTGTTAGATGACTTTCTGAAGTGAAGAGACCAACATTGCACAACTGAACTATGAAACAAAAAAACAGAAATGCTGTTAAATATTTGACAGCACTATGATGGCTATACAAAACAACAGGACCCTGCTCCCCCTTCAAGAAAAAGAAAACTTAAAACCAAATACATTTGTGTGCAGTAAGGGCTTACTCATTATTCATTACTGTCTATAATCTTATGAATATATATTAAGGTAATCTAAAAGTGTTATAGCAGTTGCAATATTTTAATCATGCAAAATATTTTTCTTACTTGGTGATTCATCTCTAATTCCTGGGTAGACAAATGAAGCTAAATCATAGGCTTTTTATGACCAAGGGAGGGGAGGGTACTGATCTGTCATTATCATTAAATCATAGGGATTGCTGGTGTTTAGCAAGGAAAAAATGATCAAAAGACCTCTATGTTTGAAAGTATTAGTCATTTCAAAACTAAAGAAAGTGAACCTCAGCAATGAGCATACACCCATTATGAAGCTATTTTAAAAGAGGAGGACTTATATTAAATATAGAATTGTTAGTACGATCATCTGTCTCAGCTCTCATAAAGCTCATCAATACACTGCAGCATAACGTAAAGGAAAAAGAAACAGGCTTGTATCTGTTCAAAGTCACCATGCAGAACTTCTGGTGAAAACTTTGAACCTGCTTTTTTACCAAAGTATTTATAACCTGGAAAACTAGAAAGTTGAGGTGTTCTATTTAGTTAGACCAGAAATTAACCTTTACATATATAATCAGGATAGAATGTGGCAGTCAGCTAATCCTAAATTAAGTCCTTTGTTCTTATTTGTTACATAAAGCATAAAGCATAAACACAGTGTTACATAACCACACTTCAAAGCCTTCTGTAAACCAAGCAACTCATAGCAACATCTCTGCCTTCAGCAATCCCACTCCAGTAAATCATCCAAGTGACCTTATTTGCTTATTAGAAGCTCTGTGTACAGGTTGCAAATGTCAGAGTATGAATTTACATTTTAAAAAGTGCATCTTGCAGTGGTTTTATGAAAATATTTCAACAATCTAAGGTCAAATTCAACTATTTATACCTCTGCTCTCTTGGGTTTAAAGATTTTTGTCCTAGATTCACATATTCTTCACAAGTCATACTTCATGACCTCTCCTTTTAACATCTCCACATTGTAACAGTTTGAAATACCATTTGGAAAGGGGGCTGTTACTACACTGTCATTTCTACTGCCACCTCAATAGTATGCTGATATATAATTTAAACATTTGATTCTCATTTAACGTCTCAGAATGATATTTATCTGTAGAAACCAATACACATATCTAATGAATTATGTGGGAGATTTTAAAATTTATATTGTATATCATGTATTACTTAAACTGATGTAATACATCAGCTCTCTGAAAATAGAACCATGACACATTTATATTCTACTCTAGAATACAGAAAAAAATCACAATAATTGACTTTTGTATGCATGTTTTGCTTCAAAATTATTTTTCTTCTTGTGGAAGATGGTTAAAAAGATCACCAAAAAGATTTTCTGGGGAAGAATTTGTCAGGGGTTATGGCGGGGAAGTGGGAAAAGTGAGTTGATTAGAAAGAAACCTGCCTGGGCCATGAGTCTGTATGCAATTTTCTCATCCTACATATTTTCCCAGAAGCATTTTCAAAATTATTAGAACATTACAGAAATAAATCATCAATAATACCACCACTGCTATCACCCCCAATCACATGTACATACCCCAGGAACAGAAAGAGGGACCAGGGTGTAACAGAAAGAATATGAGCTGTGGAATAACTGCTTAACCTTTCCCTGCCACGGGCTTGAGAGAAGGCCTCGGTTACTTAAAGGTTTTAGTCTCTACAACCTGCCTTATAGTGTGGCCCGAAATACAGGTATAAGTTGTTTTATGCACTTCACTTCATTGTGCTTTGCTGAAATTGTGTTTTTACAGTTGAAAGTTTGTGGAAACCCTGTGTTGAGCAACTCCGTCTGTGCCGTTTTTCCAACAGCATATGCTCACTATATGTCTCTGCATCGCATTTTGGTAATTATTGCAATGTTTCAAACTTTTTCATTATTAGTATACTATATTAAACTGAATACTTTATAACAATGATTAGCAAATAGAAGACCTGAAAAAGAGGGGCCCTAATACTCCCATTTTCCCCATATCACTTAAAATGTGGTATAATCATTTGTTTAACTGAAATGGATTAGCAAGAGCACTCTCTCCTTAGGAACATAGTTTTCTTTCTGATTTAATGCCAACTTGATAACATTCTAGGTGAAGAAATGCCACTAAAGAAATACAATAATGATTCTGATGATATATAAGGCATTATGTTTCTTTTTTTACAGCTAAACACTGTGAAAATTTAAATGAACGTAACACATCGGGAAAATTTATTTTATGTTTCTAAGCATGAAATATGAAACCTGCCTACTTATGAGGTACATTTAGGTCTCAGCTTAGCATTACCCACATTTCTATCTATTGTATTAAAGAATGTTGGTGATTACTACACTGAAGATTAGCAGCTAAAAAGACAAATGTGAGATAGTATATAGGCAAAAGGTTTTTGCTGTTCTTTTTTTGATTTTTTTCCTAGAATATAGCTGCAGATTCTCTTGCAGAAACAATAAAATGTCCTTTGGCAGTGACCATGATAACCACATTCAAAACCTTACTGATACAAGTCAGACTTGCCTCAGTTTTCCAAATGTATACTCTTATTTTGAAGAGATAGTTAAAAGCATCCTTAAAGTGTCTTTTGCCTTGCCTGGCATTACCTCCAAAATAGCTCCCTTCCAACAGTTGCTGAGAAGGCAATCACCACCTATCCTCCACAAATTTGAGTGAAAGTTGATGTCTTGCTATTTGATATACAGAATCTACAGATTCAAAGAAATGAAACTGCTCAAGAATTCAGACATGTTACCTATAACAAGTTTATATTTCACGTGAAAGTGGAAGTTCAAGTGGCTTCTTTAGAAAAGTTAAATTTGTTCTGGCACCAAATCCTGCTTCCCAGGGAATTAAAAATTTGATGAATTTTGTTACTTGATTAACACTTGCAATCTTGTCACTATAGACTCTTCACAGTGAAAATCTGTATTCAATTCACTTGCTCAGTAATTAGAAATACCAATGGCATTGGCCAGACGTGACAGCTCACACTAGCAATCCCAGCACTTCGGGAGACCAAGGAGGACAGATCACCTGAGGTCAGGAGTTAAAGACCAGCCTGACCAAGATGGAGAAACTCTGTCTCTACTAAAAATACAAAATTAGCTGGGTGTGGTACATGCCTGTAATCCCAGCTACTCAGAAGGCTGAGGCAGGAGAATTGCTTGAATCTAGGAGGCAAACGTTGCGGTGAGCCGAGATCGTGCCATTGCACTCCAGCCTGGGCAACAGGAGCAAAACTCCATCTCAAAACAAACAAACAAACAAACAAAAGACAGAGAATACTCCGCTAAAAACAGAAACTATACCATTGAAATCCTAATTTTTAATACTTTGTATATCTGAATTCATTCTATAATATTGAGCTACATTGTAGGTTAAAAGTAAATGAAAAAAGTCAGAATAAGATAAAAGGCCGAAAATAAATGGGATGAAAAATGCAAGAGAGAAGAAAAAGGACTCTTAAAGCTAAGCTTGGAACAACGTCAAGTTAAAAGAAGAGATCCATTTGCTGGTTATGGGAGATGCTACAATCCTAACAGATTAAAAACAGAATTATCCTGTAATATTCTTTTATCTTTTCTAATAGGTTAGAGGGTCAAGTTAATATTGTACTTTTTCAAGTTTAATGTTAAATTTGGGATTTTATGTTGAAATTATTAACTGAACAAATAAAGAATAAGGAAGATATGACATAATACTAGGATACATAAAGAAAAACTCAAGATTTTTATTTGAATGCAAATACAATGTGAAAAGAAAGTGTGATGGCTGCCATGAAAGCTAATGTAACTTTAACTATATGAATAAGAGAGCAGCATCAAGATATAGGAAGGTAATAGGGCTCTGTATGTCATACTTGCCAGACTATACCTGGAATATTCTGCTGTTAGTGTAGGGAGAATGTGAACAACGCTGGGTGCATTTAAATAAGGGAGATGCAATGGTAAGAGGTCCAGAAAGTATCGTGAGAAATCTATTTAAAAAACTAGCGGTATCTGGTCTGGAAAAGGAGAAGCCAGGGAGAGACGGTAAACTAAGAAGTATGCTAAAGGTCTTTTTGATTTGAATAGCTGGCACATGCAACAGGTGTTAGCCCCAAAGTACAGAACTAATGCATTGATTTTAAGAAAACATTTTTTTTTTTGGCGGGGGATGGAGTTTCTTTCTTGTTGCCTAGGCTGGAGTGCAATGGCATGATCTTGGCTCACTGTAACCTCCACCTCCCTGGTTCAAGTGATTCTCCTGTCTTAGCCTCCTGAGTAGCTGGGATTACAGGCACCCACCACTATGCCCAGCTAATTTTTGGTATTTTTAGTAGAGATGGGGTTTCATCATGTTGGTCAGGCTGGTCTTGAACTCCCGACCTCAGGTGATCCACCTGCCTCGGTTTCCCAAAGTGCAGGGATTACAGGAGTGAGCCACCACGCCCAGTGATAACATTTTTAATTATTAAAAAACAATAACGTTTATCTTGTGAAACAGTGATATTCCTAGCACTGCAAAGTATTCGAATAACAGGTGATTATTTGTGAAAAAATTTCTAGATGGGACTTCTGCACTAAACTGGGAGGGTAGAGAAGAGTACCTCATAAAAGGAATATGTTGTGATTTCAACCTGAGAGTTATCACTGGTGTTATTAAAATACACTTAATTGGAAGATGTGTTGTAAATTATGTTGAAAATGCTCTCCTGCTCCCTTCCTATCCAAAAAAAATTAAAACATATAAAGTAAAAAACATGATAAAATTCTCCCATTACCTATTTAGACCATTACATCTTCAATACTTTTTGAGTATTTAAAGAGACATATTAAAATGCAAATATCCTCACGGAAAGCAATAACATATGTGACTTTACTATTTGTTAACAGAAAGACATAGAAGAGATGGGTGGTAAGACTAAGGTCCAAGTGGACACAAATTTGTAGAAGGCAAATGTAGGAAATGAGTCAACAATATTTCTTCATGGTTCTCTTGGAGGCCAAATAGATGACTGAGGATTCAACCATAATTTCTAGAAAGAGCTGGCTCAGTTTTCCAATGTCTGTATCATTAAAACTTATAACTAGTATAACTTCCAAAAAACGTGACTAATGTAAATACATTCAGTAGTTATTAAAATAGAAAATTTTTGTGTAACAAGCAAGTACCTATAGACATTTAAGCAGAAAACTAAATTTCAAAAGACCCAATTTGTGTCAAGATTTTCAAAACTGAACCAGGCTTTCATATATCCTATAATTCTGTCAGTATATATAAACTAATATTTGGGGGAGGGGTCTTACTGACTTAAGGCGGTCATAGTAATACACTATACTATATAATATATATATATATAATACACATATTATTATGCATGTTTTCATTCAGTAATATTTGTTAAAGTTAATATATTAACATATTTTAGATAGATCCTTATAGCTTGACCCAAGGTTTTTCTCCTAAATATCATCACTGAAAATTCTATACCTTTCCATTTGTTGACAGTGATAAAATAATTTTAATTTAAAATTTTTATAGGTATATAGTAGTTGTATATGTTTATGGGATACATGAGATATTTTGATACAGGCATACAATATGTAGCAATCACATCAGGGTAAATGGAATATCCATCATCTCAAGCATTTATCCTTTTTTGTATTACAAACATGCCTATTAACACTTTTAGTTATTTTAAAATGTAGAATAAATTACTGTTAACTGTAGTCACCCTGTTGTGCTATCAAATACTATGTTTTATTCTTCTATCAAACTATGCTTTTGTAGCCATTAAACATTCCTACTTTCCATTTCCCTCTCACTTCCCCACTACCCTTCTCAACTCTTGCAACCATCCTTCTACTATCTCCATGAGATTCACTGTTTTCATTTTTAGCTCCCACAAATGAGTGAAAACAGGCAAAGTTAGTCTTTCTATGCCTGGCTTATTTCACTGAACAAAATGACCTCCAGTTCCATCCAAGTTACTGTAAATAAAAGTATCTCATTCCTTTTACAGCTGAATAGTACTCCATTGTGTATAAGTACCATATTTTCTTTATTCATTAGTGTATTGATGGATACTTAGGCTGATTCCAATCCTTGGCTATAGTGAACAGTATTGCAATAAGCAGGGGAGTGCAAATATCTGCTCCATATACTGATTTCTTTACTTTTGGGTATATACCTAGCAGTGGGATTGCTGGATCATATGGTAGTTCTATTTTTAGTTTTTTTGAGTAACCTCCATACTGTTTTCCATAGTGGCTGTACTGATGGACAACCCCACTGACAGTGTATGAAAGTTCCACTTTCTCCGCATCCTCACCAGGATTGATATTGCTTGTCTTTTGGCA